TGCATGGACATGACGTGCATGCTGCTCACGTGCACAGCTGCTGTAGAATATCTTTACATTTAGATGTGAACGACGCCAACATGATAAATGTTGCTTGAAAGCAGAACGTTGGTTGACCTTTATTATTCTCTGCGTGGATGGAAGTGGGTCAGGGCGCTCAGCGTTATCTCCGGCTGCAGGCAGCTGAGAGGGGGCGAACATCCAGAGGACAGAGCCTATCGGTTTAATCTCTGCTTTGATTCTGTGTCGAGATGTGCAGCCAGAACCTTTGACAGAACAAACCTTCCTCACTCCTGTTGGTGCCGTAAACCAGCTGGCTTGATGAAACCGCCTTCAGAACCAGAACCAGAACCTGACACACCGTGCATGGAGTACATGATCCCGGCTGTAGACAAAGAAAATCCAAAGGGTTTGTGTCTTTTCAACCCACAAAAACAAAAATAAAATGTTCTGCTCACCTGCACGCTCTGCAGGTTCTGCTGCACCTGATGTCAGAACCAGCTGCGCTGCATCACAGAAGGAACATGTCTGAACTTTGTTCATTTGTTCCAGAACTTTTCAACTAATAAGCCACGAACACGCTGCAGCAGAGCCACGTGTTCCTGCTTGAGTCTCATCAAGCCTCAGCCAATCACATTCTTTCATCTTTAATGATTTAAGCTTCTTCGTTACAAGAAAAACACGTTAGTTCTGATTATTGACCAAGTCCAGTTTGTCGTCTGGAGACCCCAACGCTGATGCTTCACGGCCCACAGAGGGGTCTGGACCCTGCCTTTGAGAACCTCCTCGTTTAGGCCTGCAGGCTGTCGTCCTTCTACTGATCTAAAGGTTCAACATAACGCCACTTCCTGTTACACTTCCTGTTACACTTCCTGCTCCACTTCCTGCTCCACTTTTTGCTCCACGTCCTGTTACACTTCCTGTTACACTTCCTGCTCCATTTCCTGCTCCACTTCTTGCTCCACTTCCTGCTCTGCTTTTTGCTCCACGTCCTGTTACACTTCCTGTCATTTGCAGAGTTTAGGTGAGGAAAAGCCTTTGAGCTGTATCTGTCCTCCACAGAAGGAGACGGAGCTGTCTCACTTCATTCTGCCCCCCCCAGCTGTGGTTCTAATGGTATTCAGCTGGCCTCCTCTCTCCTGGCCCAGCAGCACTGATTGTAGCAGCTGCAGCTGTTTCCAGCTGTTCATTAGTTTTATCGTCGCTCGATTCATTCTGTCTGACGAGCTTTAAGTGTGTGTGTGTGTGGGGGGGGGGG